GGCGTTGAGCTCCGCCTTTGAACTCCCCAGCGAGGCACAGCTTTCGCCGCCATCGCCAGGGTCCTCCGTAGTGACCCCCCATGTCACTCTCTGCTTCACTAGCCGCCGAGGTATTGGAGCACACGAATCGTCCGTGCTTATCCCTTCGCGGCTGCGAAGCATTTACCCCTCTCGATGCCTGCCGACCCCTCCTCGAAGTCGCCAACTTGGGGGCTGGCAGGCCTTCCTCATCCGAAGATCGGCACACTGAATGTTTCCTGGCGGAAGACGTCCCACGCGACCTATCCGCGTCTGATTCATCCTGTTTTCCTATGTCTACATTTTTTTTAAAGGTTTATCCATTTTTTTCCCACGAGTGTGGAGGAAGTAACGGTCCATCCGAGCAGAGCCCCCTTTGCCCGGATAAGCCTATGCATAACCCGTCAAGGGTGTCGGCCGGTACCCTGATGGGGGCAACGCTAACGACTGAACATTTACCCGTCAGCCATGCAGCTCCTCACGGCGTGCCACGCTTGAGCTTCGGGTGATTTTTTATAGAGGTTATCATCCTCGCGACTCCAGGCGGTTAAGCCAAGAGCCCTCGGCCCCTCAGGCGCCGCGAGACATGATCCACGACACGCCAAAGGGATTCCGAGGTTCGAACGGTGGCAGAGTCGATACGGGTTCTTCCCATGCCTGCCCAGAGACCGGGTGAGGGAACTCTGAGCCCATTCTATTCCCGCGATGACGGGTTGCCCGGCGTCGGCAAAAGCCGAGTGCACCTGGCATCTCACCGCGCATGTCACATCCTCTGTTCCTCTCAGTGGAGAGGATACGGGAAGCAACTAGCAGGTACTTGATTCCATTCGGAACTAGAGGTACGCCCAAACCCAGCCAGTTTTGGTCCGCGACGGTTTCCCGCTACCACTCATATCTGAGTGGCATTCCCCTATCCGCCACCTGGGGACGCGCCCGATGGGAGGACTGGCAACTCCACACGGGAACCCAACCTAACCTAACCATATATACGCCGAAGCGTAAGCATCGTTTAAAGTGAGCTCCGCGTTCGAAAAATCCAGAAAAATAGTAAATTTAGTGCTATTGTGAATTGTCATACATCAAATTGTGTGTAATAGTGTCAGCTTTAAGGTTGTGTCAGATTTATTAAGCACACGATTTCGTCTAAGTGGTTTTTAGGCGAAAAACCGGCAATTTTCATCAAAATAAGGTAAATTTAGATCTTATTTTTGAAACGCTGCGAAATTTAAAGCGGTGACATATAGTTTTTATTACACCAAAATTTGGCACTTTGCACGCTGTACATTTTGTGCTTTATTCTGGATTTTTCTGACATAAGTTGAAGAAGTTATAACGGTTTTTCTTGAAACCACGTGGCCACGTGCTTTTAGAACCAGAATAGTGCGGCTATATCTAAGAGTGTATTACAAAAGTGCTCAAAGCGTACTCTCAAAACACATTTAGAGTACAAAAATTGGGTCACTCTACAAGATTTTATAGCCATAAAACCAATATTTTCATAAAGTAAAAAATTTTAACACACTATAAATCGAAAATTTAATCGAGAACACATATTTTTTATTTTTGCAATTTGTGTCCTTTTGATTAATTAATCTATATGAAAAAAAATCAGAATTTTTTTTCCAAGGAGTTTTCAAAATATTTGAAATTTCAGTAAAAGTGTGTGCCACGTGGTCACTGTTCTAGCTATCTCCCAGGCTTTAAAGTAATTAAAAGAAAGTGAGACAAATTATAAATTTAACTGGTTTTTGTTTCAAAAAAATCTGATAGTAAATTTAAAAAATATTGAATTTTTCTGTTTTTTGGCATTTATTTTAATAATCATTAAAAAAAATACGTAAACAAGTAATTTATTTGTATAAAGCTCTTCGAGACCTTTTCAACGATACCAAGGTCGACGGGTTTATCTTTAACCGTTACTGAGTTACGACGAAAACTGTATATTAGACGCCATATTGAAAAAACCACCAAAATTTCAACTGGTGATATCTCAGCAACCATTGGTCGTAAAACATTGGGGTTTTCAATATACATATTGTTGCAACATCCTTAACATTAGAAGCCACAGAAAACACCCATTTTTTACCCAACAAAACTGTGACCATTATTAGATAGCTAACTTCGAGCTGAGTAGATTGATACCAAACTCGACTATTCTAGGTGCATTAGGACGTCAGAAAAACAAGTTTAAGTTAACGTCAGCCATCTTGCTCCGCCATATTGCTTATTTTAAACTGCTATAACTTTAGAACGGTTGGTCGTAGAGAGTCGCGGTTTTAGTAAACTTAATAGCAAATTCCGTTCTATCAAAGCACGTATATAGCGAAACCTATTTCCTTAAAAAATTGTCTGGAAAATCGGTTGCCTCTGGCACTTTACATACCAAGCTTAAGCTTGCCGCAAAGATCAGCAAGGGAGTGAGTCCCGTCGCTAGCGCAGCCCTACGAAGGAAGGTTTTACTACAAAATGCGACCTCTTCTAGTAAAGCAACCGAAGATGAAACCAAGGGCACGGTACCAGAGGCAAGTATGATGTCAATCATTAAGCCAACCAGCTCTAACGCATCTAGCACTCACACTGAAGAATCGTATGAGACGGCTAGTGTATACAACAAACAGGAAAACCTGCCGTTAAAAGAAGTCGATTCAGACGAAAACAGTTAAGTGACACAAGACATGGAGACGGAACTAGAAATCCTGGGTAAATGTAAGCATTCACGCACAGACGACGAATGGTCTGATGCTGACAGAATACTTAGTGACAAGAGCAAGCGATCGAGTATACTACCCCCAGCGTATAAACGACCTGGTATATCCATGGATCTTGCTACCCAGAGGGCCAACGAATTCCTACTTTCCGGTAAGGAAGCCTTGGAAAAGGCTGGCAACATGAAAAGGGAATGTAAGACTGAGGTACATGAGTGCCTTCAAGGTCTATATGAAATTGCACTATCTCTATCTGATTCCCGTTCACGTCACCGTTTAGCTCTCGAACAAGATCGATGTCGTGCAGCCAAAGAAATAGTGAAGATTGAACGGGCACATAACAAGCAGTTAATAGAGATACAAGAAACTTATGCTAATAAATTGGCAGAAACCTTCGACATAGTCCGAAGCACCTCTAAGATGGCTGAAGATATACGTAACTGGCTCAGCTATGAAATGGATGAACCCATTAAAGCTATCAGCCGAATTCAACTTGAGGTTCATGGATTAGCAGCGAAGGCATCACCAAAATCAAGCACAGTGGCTCTAACTCCTTACCCCGAAAACTCAGAACACCTAACTGAAGTGAAAGAAATAATCACTGAAATGACACATGACTTGCGATCCGTACATCTTGCAATCGGAAAACTAGCCGACTCTCTAAAAGAGATAAAGGAGAATCCATTACCCACTTATATAATTCAGACACCTTATAACACACGTATTGAATCTTTAACAACTCATATTCAAGAACTGCAAGAGATGATTCGCGACCAACCGACCAGACCGCAGTGTCAAGTGGATACTTCAAATATTCAAATAGAAATTCAAAAATTGATTAACCCTGTTGTTGAGACGATCAAAACCCTCAAAGAAGAAACAATTGAAACAAGAGATTGTTTTACAACTCACATGGCATTTCAGGGCAATACAGGGTTGAGCACAGAATTAGCAATAGCTGAGATTAAAGACAAAATTAATGATATCAGAAATCACCAATGTGCCACTAGTCCCTCACAAAGACTTAAGAGCATAGATAATAATAGCGCAGAAGTCACAACGCATACTGACGAAACAGCACAATCCTCCCAACCACGCAGACTAACCTACGCGGAGATAGCCAGTATGCCCCGATATGCTATGATACTCGAATCCATTGACCCATGGCTCTCGAGTGAGGATATCATAAAACAAGTAAGGAGGGACGTTGATCCAATCGAGTTGGGAGTTCGGGTAAACAAAATAACTAAACTTAAAAATCAACGAATTGTCATCAATTGTGACTCCCAACAAGATCAACAAACTCTAAAGACCGCCATCCGAGACACCTGTAATAAATTAACTGTGTCAACACCTTCAGTGAAAAAACCACAGCTACGACTAATAGGTGTTACTACAGACTTGACTGACGAAAAATTAGTAAGGGCCATAGCAAGCCAAAATAGTAAACTGACAACAGACCTCACGGAGGAACAAAAAGCAGTCAAAGTCGTCCGTCGCACAAAAGGCAGAATCCGAGAATTGACAAACGTCATTCTCGAGGTATCACCTCAAATGTGGTCAAAACTAAGGGAACAGAAATTGCGCATTGGTTACCAGATAGTGTCTTGTGTTGACCAGTCTCCATTAACACAGTGTTACAGATGTTTGAGCTTTAATCATACGGCGAAAAACTGTAACAATAAACTGTGTTGTGGATATTGTTCAGAAGAACATGACACTAGGGAATGCACCAAACAAAACACTGTCCCCAAGTGCTGTAATTGTAAAAACTTGAAAAGGGAAAACATCGCCCATCCAGCATATAGCTCGCAATGCCCAGAATGGATCAAATGGGATAAAATTGCGAGATCCTCTGTCTCGTATTGCTGAGAGTCAGGCGACACAACATCCCGCACAGTACTTAAAAATTGTCTAGCCTCAAATACAGAGATAAAAATAGTTCAGTATAACCTGGATCGTGGGCGCGCGACCACACAAGAGTGTTTACGGGTAGCCACGATGCAGGGATATTCAATCATTTTGATGCAAGAACCCTATGTGGGTTCAAAGGCACACGTTACTCTAGGATCTCAGTACCAAGTTATTCAAAAAATAGCAAGTAACAGTTTAAAACCAGTAAGATCGGCAATTGTTGTCACTAACCCAAACATCCAATGTACCATTAATCCAGACTTATTAACAGAAGATATAGTAGGAGTAACACTTAAATTAGGCCATATTAAGATTGGACTGATCAACATCTACCTACATGAAAAGGGTGACATCGAGGAAGAAATGTCAACCATCAAGAAAGTCATAACGTCAATGGACACCAACGAATTCATAATAGGAGGAGATGCAAATGCTAACAGTATCTGGTGGGGATGTGTTGCAGATGACAAAAGAGGAACCTGTATAACTGAGACATTGGCTGAACTAAACCTGGAAATACTAAATATAGGTACGACTCCAACGTTTAGTGCTTATAGAATGGGCATACTTTGTTCTAGCATTATCGACATCACTGCTTGTTCAGCTTCCGTACTACAAAAAATTAAAAACTGGAGAGTAGACGACACATTCTGCACGTTATCTAATCATAAGCCTATCCTCTACCAGATAGAACTCGAGAATATAAAACTAGACAAAGTAATCAGCGTTACAAGAAAATATCACACAAAAAAAGTAAATTGGGTGCACTTCAAAACAGAATTGACTAAAGAATTAGAAGAAATAGGTATCAATAGAGATAAAATCACAGTAATAAACACAGAGCAAGAACTGGACAACTTAGTTGATGACTACATGCATGCTATAATATATAATCTTAAAGCGATAAAATAATCCCGCATCTAAGGGAAAAAAGAATTGGTAAATCACCAGTCTGATGGACTAAGGAACTAAATGAGTTAAAATCAGAAATGATTAGAAGAAGACGTAGAATAAAGAACGCACATCCCAGAAGAAAAGAATACGTCATAGACGAATATTTAAAAGCAAAAGAACAATACACGCGAAGTATCGAAGAGGTAGCAACAAAGAGCTGGAAAAACCTATGCTCAACGGAAGAGAAAGAAAGCGTCTGGCAAAGAACTTACCGCATTCTGAAAGTATGCTCCAACAAAGAAGATGATAAACTGCTCCGAAACCCAAGTGGTAAAATACTATCCGAAAGAGAATCAGCAGAACTACTAGCTGAAACGCTTTTTCCATGGGACACCATTGAAACTGACACCGAAGAACATAAAGTACTAAGGACCACCACCCAGGAACTAGCAATAAAATTAAAAAACTCTAAGATAGAAATAAAACCATTCACTAGGCATGAAATAGAAAGTATATTCCGAAACATGAGCCCAAAGAAAGCCCCAGGAGGAGATGGATTAACTTCAGACATATGCCAAGCAGCATATGAAAGCCAACCAGATACTTTATTAGCATTGTATAATCAATGCCTTCAACTCGGATACTTCCCAAAGCTGTTTAAAATAGCCACAATAAAATTTTTACCAAAATCTAATAAAGAAGACTATTCTGTTCCCAAATCTTACCGGCCTATAGGTCTTTTACCAGTGCTCGTAAAGGTATTAGAGAAACTGTTCGTTAACAGATTACAGTGGCAACTTGGAAATGAAAGGAAACTCAATAACAAGCAGTATGGATTCACACCACAAAGAGGAACCGAAGATGCACTTTACGATGCTATTACATGTATCAAAAATGGGCTAAAAAACAAAGATATAGTAGTATTGGTATCACTGGACATCGAAGGCGCATTCGACAACGCGTGGTGGCCAGTAATAGTTAACGAACTTCAAGCCAAACAGGTAGAACCATCAATGCTAAGGCTTATTACCAGCTACTTATCTGACAGGGAGATACGGCTAAGATATGCGGGAGAGGAAATAAGACAAGCCACAAACAAAGGCTGTATACAGGGATCAACATGCGGACCAATCATGTGGAATATCCAACTGGATCCCATGCTGCAAGAAACACAAAGCCTCAACACTCATGTTCAAGCATTTGCAGACGATATACTAATAATAGCGACGAACAAAAATGGGGAGACAATAGAAAAAGAATTAAATAATACATTAAAGATAATTTCAGAATGGGGCACAAAATGAAATTCGCACCGCACAAAACACAGGCAATACTGATAACAAAGAAACTTAAATATCATCAACCCGTAATCAAACTGGAAGGCGTCGAACTACAATTCTCACACCAACTTAAAATATTAGGCTTAATTATAGATCGCAACCTAAACTTCAAACCGCATATCAATAAAGTCAGCAGGAAAGCAATAAATCTATATAAAACAATATCTCGTGCAACGAGAGCACAATGGGGTCTGAATTCAGAGATAGTAAGACTTATCTACCTGGCAGTTGTGGAGCCGACTGTACTATATGCCGCCAACTGCTGGGCAGAAACAACTGACAGACGGTACATAGAACGCATCTTAAACAGGTTGACACGACTCTTTAGTATACGCATCAGTAAAGGCCACAAAACGAATTCGCTCATTTCGAGCACACTATTTGCACAAATCATTCCCTTACCACTAAGAGCCAAAGAAAATGCCCACTTATATGAAGTAAAGCGAGGAAAGCCCATAGATCATTTACCAGGAAGGCAACTCGAAATAAAAATAAGTCCGATTGACCTACCACACCCCTCAGAGAGAGAAACATTAAAATATCAGCTCATCAACATCCAAGAAGATATAGAAACAATAGATAACGACGCCCAAAATTTTTACCGATGGAAGCAAAATCAACAATAAAGTGGGAGCGGCAATAACAGTATGGACCAATGGAACAGAAATATACAAAAAAATGTTTAGGCTAGAAAGTTACTGTAGTGTTTTTCAAGCGGAATTAGCAGCCATATTGAAAGCAATAAGATATGCAACATCTAAAAATTATCGCAAAGTAAACATATTAAGCGACTCAAGACCAGCTTTGGAGTGCATCTGCGATCCGACCTCAAAACACCCAATAGCGGTAGAAATTCGAAACGAAATAAAAGATAATAAGAATTAAGAGGGCAACATCCAATTATACTGGATAAAAGCACACAGCGGGATTGCCGGTAATGAAAGAGCCGACCAATTGGCAAAACGTGCAGCAGCAAACAACAAGCAAAGACCAGAATATGACCTTTTCCCATTGTCTTATGCAAAGCACCTCACCAGACAATCTACCCTGCAAATATGGCAACGGAAATATGAAGAAACTCCGACAAGCAACATCACAAAGGCGTTTTTTCCAAATATTATCACAGCATATAAAGTACTTAGGTCAATCAAAATAACAAACTTAATAACGCAATTATTTACTGGTCATGGAGGAAATAAAGCATATTTGTACCGTTTTAAATTATCGTCATCCCCAAGCTGCACTTGTGACGGAACGGTAGAACAATCGATCGAACACTTAATAATTGAATGCCCGCGTTTCGGAAGAATGCGATACGAATGCGAGTGCAAAATGGGAATGATTGTAAGCAAAACAATACTGTCTAGCATAATGGAGGACAATAATTGCCGATCGATCTTTATGGAATTTGCGCTAAAAGTGTTAAAAATCGTAAATGCAGAAAACGGGAGTAATATAATAAGTTAAACAAAACAAAACAATATAATGATAAGATATATTAGATCAATAAAATAATAAAATTAAGATACATTAGATATATAATAATAAAATTAAAAAAAAAAAACTTTTAAATAATATAAGGGCACATGACTTGACTTAGTATTAAGACTTATTATTATACTGTATTAGCCCTTAGCCCTTATTATTGTACTATATTATAATATTATAATACTGTATAATATACATATAGACCCTACACATGACTTAGTATTAAGTAACATAGTAATTAAGATGTACACTATTTGATTAAGTTAAACTGTATACAAGTCAAAACATAGTTGACTATAATACACAATTGCTGTAAACGCACAAAAGAAAAAAAAAGCTTAAGTGAATAAAAATATATATAAAGAAAAAAAGGGAAAAGAAAAGAGTAAGCAGAAAGCCAAAAAAAAAAAAACATAATAAAAATAAATAAATCATGTAAATCTACCATTAAAAACAAATACTTGTATGTAAGATATCATTGAAAATATTGTTATTAACAAACCATCGCCATAGAAGTTAAAAGCGTCAAACTGTATAATATATGCATATAAATATAATATAAATAAAAAGAAACATATAGTGTAATATAGTATAGTAAGTGTTAGCGTCATAAAGTATGTAAATATTGCAGTGTAATTATGCTTCCTAAAGAAAATAGATAGTACGTAAACAATTGAAGTAGGAATGAAAGCGCTATACGTGCGACAAAAAAAAACTTAGTAAAAATGATACTTAGCATAACATAAAAGTAAGAAAAGCACTGCAGAATAGCAGTAGTTAACATAGAAAAAAAACCTAACCTAACCTAACCTAACCTAACCTAACCTTTTTTAACATGGGGAAATGCCTACGCATACCTGTCTCGCGGGGGCAAGGACGGGTTATGTCGGACTCGCACCGACTAAAACGCCATGGTGTTCCACCTTCGTCGCATATTGGCAGGGCTACGGGAACGCTTTCGCACACTTCCGCGGCCCTACCAGCGACTGCCGCCCAATGGCAGCACCTCCTCGGGAGAGGAATATTCCTCCCTGTTCTCCTTCCCAAGTAAGGCGCACCAGAACACATGGCACACCTTCCTCCACGGCCTCCAATTGCATCTGCGCAACAGACGCCCCCCGCGTCCGATGCGCGAAGGCCATGGGGCCAGGAAAAACGAGCACTTAGAAGTACTAGCCTTCCCGACCCCAGCGGCGGATCTGGTCTATGGCTCCGCCGCCAACCAAGATTCGGCTGCAGAGGATAGGGAGAGCGGCGCCTCGCAATACCGACAATCCTCTCCCCCCGCAGCCCCATCACCACCACATCAACGATGCGGCCCCGTTTGAGTCGCGGAGGGTAGGGCGAGTGGCGCATCGCCATACCAACACTCCTCTTCCTCCGCGACTCCACCTCGGCTGCAGCGGTAGAGGCTGCGGAGTCCCCACTCGCTGCAGTCCACCAGCACACATCCGAAGTGGGCTCCCCAAGCCCACTCGGAGTGGCCACCTCAGGCCGGCCCTTCCCCTCGGGCCAGCCATGTGGGTTCCTCTTTGTTCACCGTGGGAGACCAAGCCACGGCTACTAAGCCCCCACCGCCACGACAAGGCGAGAACCCGTTCGGGGGGGGAACCTAACCTAACCTAACCTAACCTAACCTAACCTAACCTAACTCAGTAAAATGAGTCCAAAGAAATCACCAGGGGAAGATGGACTAACAGCTGATATATGTTTCAAGGCGTATATGACGGCACCTCAGGTACTATCAACCATTTACAATAGGTGCTTTATCCTAGGGTACTTCCCACAGATTTGGAAACAGGCTATTGTCAAAATCATCCCGAAGCCGAATAAGGAGAATTATACACTAGCTAAATCCTACCAGCCAATAGGACTCCTACCTGTACTGGGTAAGGTGTTTGAAAAACTATTTGTCAACCGAATGACATGGCAGCTCGGCTCAGAAAATAAGATGAGTGGTTGGCAGTATGGGTTTGTCTCACAGAGAAGGACTGAGGACGCCCTGTATGACGCCCTCGAGATTGTCAAGCAAGGAAGAAAGAATAAAGAAATTGTCGCTCTTGTCTCTATCGATATCGAAGGAGCTTTCGATAATGCTTGATGGCCTGCAATGATAAATGAGCTCGAGAGGAAAAAAGTCGACAGATCAGTATGCAGGCTCATTAACAGTTATCTCACTGATAGGCAAGT